CGCACGATGCTGAAGAGTGGCTGGCGATCATTCAGTCGAGATTGCCTGGCAGAAGTGTTGACACTGACGGGGTGACCGTCGCCCCCCCACACACACACACACGTATACACGCCACAGGGCCCTGCAGTGTTCCTCCTGAGCCAGGGAAACACGCGCAGTTCTGGGACCCAGAGCTCCCCCCCCCCCCCGCGACCAGCGTCTGTGGTGTCGGACGGACTGCCAGCCTGTTTCCTTGCGCAGAGCATCTGTCGGAGCAGCTGACGGGGGATGCCAGTCCAGGCGGCGCTGCAGAAGATGGTAGGAGGGGAAGGCAGACCTGCGTGGGCTCCAGAAAATCCCAGCCTGAGAACTCCCAGACGTCGCAGGGTTCTCCTGACAGGCCGGCTCTGTTCGGGCAACGAACGCGAGAGGGAGATTTGAAACCTGGCTGCCTTGGGTCCTCCACTGTTGCCTGCTCTACCCGGGGCTGCTCCCAGGCCTCCGTTCTCCTCCTCCTCCTCCTCCCCTCCTTTCGGGACCGCTGCGGCCTGCTTCCCTCCTCCCCCCTCCCTTCCCTCGCCTGTCCTCTGCGTCATGCTCAATGCAGGTGGCAGGGCGTCTGTAAATCTCTTCCTGACACGGTGTAAGATCAACCCAGAGGCGTTGACATTCTTAACATTAATTCTTCCTTCCAGATTAGAGCTGTTGCTAGCCAAAGGGCTTAGCAACGGGTAAGAAAGGGGGCCATTTGGGCGAGGAGACGAGTCCGGCGACTGTTGGCAGGCGAGCGAGGGCAGACGAAGGCTCTTCCGCCATCACTCGCCCCTGTTGATGCACTGACCCAATGCAGCCCGCCCTTCTGCAAAGCAATAAAATGGATACAGATCGAGGATTATTCATTTTGTTCATGCTCCACCATTCTCCTCAATGCAGTTTATGTCATTCTCCACTCCTCCATTTTATCCTTGCAACAATCCAGGGAGGTAGGGTAGGCTGAGAGAGTGTGACTGGCCCAAGGTCACCCAGCGAGTGTCCACAGCAAAGTGGGGATTCAAGGTTGGGTCTCACAGAGGTTGGGTCTGACGCTCCACCCACTGCGACGGGAGGGCTGTCGGATTACAACAGGAATATGGTGAAACCAATAAGTGAACTCTTAGCCATGCCAGAACACTCCATCTCTGCACTCAGGGCCTGGGGTAGGAACGCAGCATACAGAAGAGCCTAGCCCTTGAAGTCACCCAAAAGGGAAACGTGGGGAATCATACCACTGGTGCTCTGCGATCCTTAAAGGAAGAACAGCTGCTGAGGTGCATAATAGTTTTGGAGAGCCAGGGCGTTGCCCTTGTTGCCCAAGCGCTGATCCTGTCCTTGTCGTAGACAGATGGTTGGGAGAAAAAGGGATTAGACCTTAGATATTTCTTGTGTCCATTTTCTCCCCAATGACCATCCAAAGCAGCTTGATCTCCCCTCCTCCTCCATTTCTCACAACAACCACCCCTGCAAGGTAGGATAGGATGAATGCATGGGGAAGATATTGTTATTTTTTTTTACCATTAAAAACTGGTGCTCTGTGCTAACATGGGCTGAAACAAATCTGAAAACATTCCTTCACAGGAGGGCGTTGTAATTTGGGGAGGCCTTAGTCCGGTTGGCGTTTTGTTCTCTCTCCAGGGAGCCCAAAGCTTTTGCTGTTTTTGAGTAGCCAAAGGGGCTCTCATGCTTACAGTGGGAAAGATTGACTAGAACGAATATATCCCTTCAGACTGCATGACCAGTGGAAGACAAAGAAGAAGAAGAGATTGGATTTATACCTCGCTCTTCACTACCCGAAGGAGTCTTAGAGTGGCTTACAATCTCCTTTACGTTCCCCCCCCCACAACAGACACCCTGTGAGGCAGGTGGGACTGAGAGAGGTCAGAGAGAACAGCTCTGAGAGAACTTGTGACTGACCCAAGGTCACACCAGCAGCTGCCTGTGGAGGAGTGGGGAATCAAACCCGGTTCTCCCAGATTAGAGTCTGCACTCTTAACCACTACACCAAACTGCGAAGTGATACCATTGACAGAGCTGCTTTTTCCAGGCAAACACACAGAAAAATGGGGTCAGGGTACGAAAGTGGGTATGGAATTCAGCATCCTCGCAGCTTTCATTCAAAACAGGGAGTCTCTAATTCTTCTAGTTCTAGTTCTGATCGTTGTGAAGGGATGCTTGAAAGAACATGGGCCGTGGCAGGGACCTTGCGTACTAAGATTTCCGGGGGGCAGAGAATAGGGTCCCCTGGCCCCCTCCCAATATATTAGCAAGTCCAAGATGGAACGCAAGGAATGGTAAGAATGGCAGAGTATCTGGTCAGATTATGTCTCTCTGCATCATTTGCATAATTTATGCAGGTCACAGAATTCACCTTTTCCGTCCAGGTGATGGGCCCACTCCAGTCGACACGCGGCCACCTTAATGGCCTTGAGACTCTAGCCTTTTGTCAGCAACCTCTGCTACAGTCTGTGCGCCCGGCTTCCTGCCTACGGAGATGCATGGCACTCAAAGGGAAGACCTCTGTATTTCCCTCCCTCCTCCCCACAACCAGAGAGCAGAGGGCGTCTTATCACTCACTCCAAGGCATCTTTACGTTGCCAAAGGCACATTCACTTCAGAGGGCAGTTGCAGGAGAGAGCGTGGAGCAGGCCTTTGGTAACAACGTGCCCTTGTGCTCTTTTACAGATGCATTGTGGGACGGGATAAATACATAGTGATGGTTTCCTCCCTCCCCCTGGAGCCTGGCTGCCTTCGAAACAGTTGACAGCTGAGCCCTTGAAAATTACTTTTCATCCCAAGGGGAGAGAAGGGACTAAGCAAGGGACCACTTTCGCGCACTGGGTCAGCCGCAGGCTTTTCAGCAAGAGGGAGAATTGCCTTTGAACTTCCAGCTTGCGCTCTGCGTGGTCCATTGATCAGTGGTCACATGGCATTCATGCCACCTCTCGGGGCATAACTATTCGATATGTAAAACTGGGTCAGGACCCAGGAGCCAACCATGAGGACTGTGATGCTGAGAGGAATGAGCACAGGAATCTGTGTTGTACCAATTCGAACCCTTGTCCTGCCAAGGTCAGTACTGTCTCCTCTTGACTACAACGGCTTTCCCACAGAGGTCTTTT